TAGATATTTAAACTCATTAACCCATCGTAATTTATTAGATCCCGCACGTATTTCAAATTTCGACGGTCCGATTGCTCCCGCCGACTGTTATGTCTCTTATCTTCGAATGACGACAGAACGGAGAAAAAGAATCCCCCTTCGCATGGAATCGAACCATGCACCTCCTGCTTACCGGGCAGACGTATTAACCACTTTACTAGAAAGGGTATCTCTTCTCCGTCTTACGATTGTATGGGAACAATACGATCGTAACACCGAACAAAGACCTTCGGTCTTAGAGTAGTTAATGGGCTGAATAGTTAAAGTCGAGTAGAACTCTACGTTTTCAAAGAATAACTGAAGCTTCTTTTCTAAATCAAGACATTGAGCAGAGTACTTCATCCCAATGCTACCGGCGAGAATTGCTACAAGAGCGTCGGCAAAAAAGTGACTAAGGCAAAGACTAAGAAAATCACCCATGTCATCGTGATATGTAATGAATAAAGTGGGTGAGAAGATAGACCCTTGATGACTACCATTCAAGATATTGAACCAACGAGATTTTTTACCAGCTATTTCGATATACGCTCTGTGTCCTTGTAGCCAGGTATCTATCCAACGTAAAATAAAACCGGGAAATACTTGTTTGAGAGTCACTTGGTATCTTTTCAATGATATGCAATTTCATTGGATAGCTCCTCTCGCTCTCATCCCGTTCGCTATGGGTCGAAATACTATTGCATAGATTGTTACCATTGTTTTTATTTTCATCGGTATCGGATCAATTTTAGGTCTTCTTCTTTACTATCTTAGTCTGGTGACCCATACTCAGGACAACGCCACAAATACAGTAAGATTCACCACGATATTTAAAACTGTGATATTGACGAAAATCTCCTTTTTCCTAATAGACCGGGCCTAGCTTCTTCAAGGGTGTGGGTGTGGGTTCGTGTGGGTGGGTGTGGATGTGTAGATCTTCTCATCACATCCCCTCACCCACACCCACACTCGCAGCATTTCTGAGTTTTAGCATCATTTTACAACCTCAGAACTTGATTCAGACTGTGAAAATACCTGGGTGTGGGTGTGATGAGAAGATCTACACATCCACACCCACCCATACTCACACCCACACCCACATCCATACACCCGCACCCACACCCCACATCTGCACCCACACCCCACACCCGCACCCACACCCAAAGTTTATCGCGTTCTGCTTGGTCACTCGTGATCGGTTGGCTTCTCTTCTTGTGTATTACGAATCAAGGTGGAATAGTGAATACGATTCTTTCATGGCCTGTCTGGACTCCACTGGCTCCTCTCAACTATTCGGCTTATCTCATTCATTTAACTATCATTTTGATCACTGTATTCAATTAAACAGTTCCTGTCTATTATCAACCACTCACTGTAGTAAATAATTTTGTATCGCAACTTGTCTTCAGTTACGTCACAGCCATTGTCATAGTTATCTTTATTGAAACTCCTTTTGTTACTTTTGAAAAGAAATTATTTAAACGATAGGGGGTACAATTGCAAAAAAATACCTGTATTCTCTCTTATTGTATGCAATCTATGCAAATTGTGAAAAGTAAACCTCTGTTGTTCGAACAGCGGCTGATCGAATTCAAGACTTTCCTTTGACCTCGATATCGATAGACAATCGGGACGTGTCGATTCTCTGATGCTTCGGTATGAAGTTGTTCGATCTGTCGCTCAAGATCCCATACAAAGAAGGGTGGGTGTGTGTGTGGGTATGGGTGTTAATGTGGGTAGGAGTGTGGGTTTTTCTTCTTCGAACACCGGCACCCACACCCTCCGCACCCACCCCTGCACCCACTCACAGCCCACGCCCATACTCACGCCCACACCCTGTTTTAACAGACTTATTCATTTTTAACGTGTATAAACACATTGTTTTTTTGCAGAACTTGACTGTCTAGAATGTAATATTGTATTATCGACAAAAGGTTGGAAACAAACTTTTGATAAACTCTGAATAGTTTATTTATTTTAGAATTATGAAATGTGTCAGTTTTTTATTAAGAGATGCTATTTAATGTTTCTTCACCTTATACCATTTTGATTTTTATGCGTATGTTTTATTTTTCAATAGACTTCACCAATAAGCGCTAAAATCTCTCTTTTTGAAATTCTTTAGACAATATTATTTTATGGTTGATTATTTCTATATATTGCCAATGAATTACATGCTTATCCTTCCACAAAACATTTGGATGAAGTTTATATAATTTTTCGACAATTAAAATATTAATTTAATTTATTGAATATTCCAATGTCTGCGATTTTAAATTAAAATTATAAAAGATTTAAGAGAAAAGATCGCTATCTTATTCACAATTTTGTCGCAAGACATGAATGAATTATAACCGAATAAAAAGTTTAATTATTGAACATATATTAATCATCAAGCTAAACACAATACAAAAGATAGTTCAATCGTGTCAAATAAACTTTCTAACCTATTCACTTTAAAGTCAACATAAATAATAGAGAAATGGTTACATATCTAGTCCTGTATGTGTTTGATATACCTTACTTATGGTATGAGGGTGTGAAATGTTATCAGTAGTATTGTATGTCGTTGTGCAACGAATATGTGAATGTTGATAGTAGAACATGAATAAACAGAGCAAGCAAGATCATTTATTTTTTATCTTATTGTAAAACAAGGTATGTATCATTGGAGCATTCGTTCTTTATAGAAGTTTTTTCGAAAATCATTTGTTAATGTTTCAGAGATTCAATAATGTTTTACTATAAACTTTCTGATCTTTACAAATTCTCAGCTTTTTGTTTTTTAAAAAGTCCAATTTTTTCATTTAATAATACTTGATTTTGACTGTGCTATTCATATTACTGAGGAGATCACGATTATAGATAGGCACCATTAATACTGAAATTAATCTCAAATTAAGAGAGAGTCCATGGAACCAACAATCAGGCCCGAATACGTCAAAATTTTGATCTTGACATAAGGTGCACCATTTGAAAGCCCGTGAAAAGTTATCCTTATATCCAAATTATAAAGGATTCTTTGAATACACCATCAGGTATTATTCTATAGATTTGATGAATTGAAAAAGAATCTGCTTTACACTTGATGTCAATATATAACCCTATGAAGGGTCTCACTTTTTCCTTTTAATTATTGTATCTTGATCAGATCTGTTAGACGTGCTATGTTAGAACACGATTCTCAAATATAAATCGTGCCTCATGTATTGTGTTTTACTAAAAAAGCGTGAAAAAATACCTTTTTCTATCGAATGTCTTCACATTTTTGAGCGGAATAGTACATCAGAACAATTCACTCCCAAAAATCTTGTAACATCAAAAGATAGCCTGTAAAAAACATCATTTTTCTATATATGAACTAATAAGATAGCACTTGGTTTACTGATTCAATTTTTTAACCCAAATATGATATTTTTTTCAATATAATTTGCAGCGATTATGAGCCGAAAATCGCTGGAAATCGGCCAAAAAAAAATGAGAAAAACTACAAAAGTTGTTTGATGATCATATTCGGATTGAAAAATTGAATAATCATACTAAGAGGAATCGTATTGGTTTATATATGAAAAGATGCAGTTTGTCACGGGCTATCTTTTGATGCTAAAAGATTTTTTGGAGGCAACCATCTCGATATACTTATGGGTCAAAAATATAGAAATCTTTATAAAAACGTGATCCTTTTTCATTTATTTCAAGTGAAAAATTGCATTTTAGGTCTTAGTCAACATTCATATTCTAAATTCCTGCTCTATGGGAGTGTATCTAACGGATCTAATCAAAATACATTATTTGAAAGTAACAAAAATTACTTCTCACAAGTAAAATATATTGAATAGTATTTTCTATATTTTACCTAAATTTATCAAATAGTACCTGGAGATGTGTTCAAAGGGGGATTCATAGCTCTTGGTAGGGTTTTCAGAAGTAGCTAAAAATTTTGATTTAAGCATAACTTTTTACGGGCTTCCAAATTGTACACCTCATTTTAATATCAAAATTTTAACGTATGACGGTTTCCTTATAATTTGGTCAATTTTCTTCTGGACCCACTCTTAACAACCATATATTTTAAATAATCATATATTACTCGAAAATATTTTTTGAATTCAGAGCTTGATGCATACCTTCACTTTTACTCACTCTATCTCGATAGCCAGTGATATATGAAAGAACATGTAAAATATATAAAGTCTTTATTTTTTGCTAGAATATCTATTAAACAGTTGTCATGCAATTGTTAATCATCTTGTCTTTGCCTATCTTTATGTCATGTTTGAAAGGTATACAATTTTAAATTTTTCTTATCTAAGTATCTCATAAAAACAGGATTATTATTAGGTAAAACTGCAGAGACATTGAAAGTATCACATAACAAGAAAGATTTTGATGCTAAACTTACATCATTCCAATCATTTCATTCTACATATCGATCAACATCAAACTGTTCTGTATCCCAATGCGATGTGTCCTCAAGTGATAAAAATATCTATATTTCATCGTCTACGCCTTACTTTGACTATCATACATTAAATAATAGTAGCTACTGTGCACCCGATATTCCATGCTCAATTTTGGAACCATGTAACAATATTACATATGACTGTACATCAAACACTTCTGTTTGTATTATTAATTCGTGTTGTTCACCACAAGCAGTGTGTTTACCTTTGTCTTTGACAAACTTAGACAGATCGGGTAATACTATTTCATCTCAGATATGTCAATTTTCATAAACTGATTACATTAGTGTCATTGAATAAATTACTCAACTTTCAAGTTTGACACTACTGAATTGAACATATTCAATATATTTTTTAGGATGGTCAAATACTAGTAGCATAAATATTGCACGAGATTCTCACACAGCATCCATATTGCCAAATGGAAATGTTTTAATTGCTGGTGGATACAATAAATCTGTTTTAAGTAGTGCTGAATTGTATAACTTATTAAGAGGAACTTGGACAATTACTGGTAATATGAATAATGCACGATTTCATCACTCAGAATCCATATTAACAAATGGAAAAGTATTAGTTGTTGGTGGAAGTAATGATAAACATCAGCTAAACAGTGCTGAGTTGTATGATTCATCAACGGAAGCTTGGATATTAATCAATAATATGAATATAGCTCGAGAATATCATACAGCAACTATATTAGCTAATGGAAAAGTATTAATTGCTGGTGGATATAATGGTATTATTCAACCTAGTACTGAACTGTACGATCCATTAACAGGAAATTGGACATTCACTGGTTTAATGAATACACGACGACAGTATCATACAGCATCTATGTTAAAAAATGGAAAAGTGTTAGTTACTGGAGGATATGATGCTATGACTATTTTAAATAATGCTGAATTATATGATCCATCAACAGGACTTTGGACAATTACTAATAGTATGAATAATCCACGATATTTTCACAGAGCATCAGTATTATCAAATGGAAAAGTACTAATTACTGGTGGAAATGATGGCGAAGGTCAGCTAAAAAGTGTTGAATTGTATGATCCATCAACAGAAACTTGGGCATTAATCAATAATATGAATACAGCACGAGAATATCATACAGCAACTATATTAGCTGATGGAAGAGTGTTAATTACTGGTGGACATAATGGTACCTTTTATCTAAATAGTGCTGAATTATATGATCCATCATCAAAAACTTGGACAATTACTTACAGTATGACTATCCCACGAATTCGTCATACAACATCCTTATTAACAAATGGAAAAGTGTTAGTTATCGGTGGAAATAATAATGACATTTATCTGAATATGACAGAAGCATATCAATCATCATAAACAGATTACCAATAAACAGTTTTTTTTCAAATATTTGATTAATTGTCTTATTTTTGTCTGAACAATGTGTATTCTTGAGATTTAAATCAATATGAATTAATGAAAACAATTTATTATGCTATATTTTATAAGAAGTACGACAATTTTCGACCTGATAAGATCGTTTTCGATTAGAAACGGGACTAAATAACAGATGAAAAAAAAAGAATCGTTAAGACACTTCATCAACTTGTAGTAGATATTCTGATGCACACGTATTATCTCAAAATATAATGAGTTTAACTCATTTCATAAAATTATCTTAGAATTCACAAAAAATAGATTTTTTTTCTGATAAATATTTAAACTGTAATTATTAATGACGATCTACAGCTGTGTTCAAAAAAACTTACACATCTTGTCATGCAAATATATCCTTATATATATGTCACTCTCAAGTAGTTTTGTATACTGATTGATAGCCTCTGACGAGTACTATTAAACACTATATTTCAATATTTTTTATTCGCTCACCTTTAGAAGAAATAAGAGACAAACATCTTTCTTTCATGGACATCACACAATTTATTACAACATTAATGTCAGTATTTTTGAATTTTTCAGCTAAAAAAAGTTCTATTTCATCAATATTATTGGGTTTTCTTTTTTCAACTTTGCGTTTTACGATCGATCAAATATTTTCTATGGGATTAACGTCTGGACTATTAGATGGCCACTCTAATAAATGTGGTACATTATCGTTGATGAATTGTTTGGTAATGTTGCTGGCGTGTTTTGGATCATTATCCTGCTGTAAACGCCAATTTTGACGAAATTGTTCTAAAACAGACGAATAAACAGTAAGGCTGTATTGTTCTTCTTCATTATTTACTTCGAGCAGCAGGAAGAAGATAATTTTCAAGCATATCAACACAATATGGACCATCAAGGTCACATCTGAATGTGTGACAGCTCAACACACCTTTCACAATAACAGCACCCCACACATGAACCTTTCGATGATTTTTAAGTATACGTTTAAATTCAGTATTTGGATGTTTTGTCCAACGACGAATAGTGTTATGAAAAAGTTGAAATGAAGCTTCGTCTGTAAATATTGTACGTGTAAAATTATCATTTTTATGCTGTTTAGCCCATTGAACACGTCGTTTTTTATCATCAGATGTGGGCGTGGGTGTGTAGGTATGGGTGTGGGTATGGAAGGGTGTGGGGTGGGTGGTGTATGTGGGTGTGGGTGTGGGTTAAGGGCGTGGGTGTAGGTGGCGGGGTGTGCGTGTGGGTGAGTGTGTGGGTGTGGGTGTGGGTGTGGGTGTAGGTGTGGGTGGCGGAGTGTGAGTGTGAGTGTGTGTGGGTGTGAGTGTGTGGGTGTGGCATGTTGGTGGAGTGTGGGTATATTTGTCGGTCTCTTCCTTACCTACATCAACATTCCACATCCACACCCACCCACACCCACACCCATCTTGAAATTTTGCACGGAGATAGGCCTCAATGAGAATAGTTTATGATGAAGGTGACAGATCTTTTGATTGTTCCTAGTCTGAAATAAGAACATCATAATCTGCTGATGTATAGGAGCAATTTTACCACAGTCGTATCTTGGGATACGAACGACAAAAATGGCTGAAACTTTCACAATAAACTATTCTCATTTAGGTCTATATCCATGCAAAGTTTCAAGACAAAAATCGAAATTTAATTTTCCTAGTATTCTTGAGAGAAACCATGACTATCTTGAGAGTGTGGGTGTGGGCATATTTGTCAGCCTCTTCCTTACCTACATCAACATTCCACATCCACATCCACACTCACACCCGGTTCCAGCTCTGATATAAGAAACTGCACATTACAGTCTAAAACCTGCGCTCAAGACGACCTTTTGAATTTGTAGATGTGGGAAAGTAATAAATGCACTAGAAGAATGAAAGAACAGTAATCTTTAACAGACGAAACAAGTCAGTCTAAAAAAGCCAAGAAGTAGTAAGAAAGAACTCATCGTCTTTCTTAAAGCTCTTGCACAAAAATTGAACGCAAATGACTGACGAGAGAACATATTTAGGTGTTCAAGCCGTTTAGATCCCATCTTTTGGCGATAGATAGACCTTGATGAAGTATGAAAACCCCCAAAAGGATAAGTTTCCTTAGGCCTTTCGTCCAGAATTATAGGCATTTTACTGGAATTTTAGTCTCAGGGATGGTATATACCAACAAATTGAATGATGGTATTTCGACTTGAGATTTTGCTGACAGAGAGATCTATTTGCAAGATTTCCTGGAAAATTTCAGCTCAAAAGAATGTTTCTTTTCCGAGATATAAAAGTCCCAAATACCACTCATATCCCACGAAGAATGCTAGAATTTTCCGTTTTTTGGGACTTTTATATCTCGGGAAAGAAACATTCTTTTGAGCTGAAATTTTCCAGGAAATCTTACAAATAGATCTCTCTGTGAGCAAAATCTCAAGTCGAAATACCATCATTCGATTTGCTGGTATATACCATCCCTGAGGCTAAAATTCCAGTAAAATACCTATAACTCTGGACGAAAGGCCTAAGGGAACTTATCTTTTCGGGGTTTGTCATATCTCATCGAGGTCTATCTACCCTCAAAGCACGGGGTCTAAACGGCTTGAACACCCAAATATGTTCCCTCGTGAGTCATACGCGGGAAAGTGTACTGTGAAAAGTTTCCAAACACTAAAGGGACTACCTTTGATTCTATTCCTGCAGTAGTAGTATTTCGTATCATTTCAGCAGTCACATTCTCAGCTCATCTGCTACTTTGAGAACGTAACAAACCCTTCAAACCCTTTTTGATATTACTAAATGGGCATTATCTGTTTGGACTCAACAATGTAGAAGTATTGAGAGCAAAAATTAACAGAGATACAAATACCATTCTCTTAACAAATGCAGTATAAGGAAAAAACAGGTCACCTGATTTTACACTTGAGACCTTCTCTTTCTTAATTTCTACAGAAATACATCACGCCAATTCTTTATTGATGAGAAGATTTCTCAGTTGCTCTATCAAAAATCCTATTGTCAATAGAATGACACTCTAGTTTTGTATAAGATTAAGTTAAATGTTATACTTGCAAAAAAATTAGATATTAGGAAGTGAAGAAGCCTAAGACAAATACAATCTGTAGTATTTAAATACCAGGATCCCATACAACGAATTCAAACAATCTTCAGCTTGATCAATCAAAAAGTCGAATGAATTCCTGTGCTTATTACTTCTCTTTTCCTCAATTTCAGGTAAGTAAGCGTCAGGTATGACTGATTAAAAAAGTCACACTGTTTGGAAACTTATAGAACGTTGAAACAATGTGGAAATACATGGTTCTGTTACTGGTCTGTTTGATGGTCGTTGATGCAAATCCGCAACATCATGTTGCACGTCGCAGCAAACAAGAAGCTGATCCGGATCTTTTTTTCTGTTTGTGCACGAATGAATATTCCAATACTGAATGAAGTTGCAGAAAAATTCTGCATTGGTCCTTGCTGTAGTCAAAATTGTGCTACGGGTAAATGCCAGAAACGAAATGGTAGATCAGTCTGTGTCTGTAGTTGATGTTTAGATGGAGTTGGTCCAGGAATTGGCTGTTTTCTTCCTGAAAAGTAATGGAAAACCTATAGTTGATGGTGAAACAAGAAACTTTTTCAGTTTTCTTTGTTGGTAGCATCTTTTCTTGATCTATTATCTTTTAATTGGGACAGCTTCAAATAAAAAACTATAAAGCAAGTTACAACTATAAAGGGTCTGGAAGTGAGAGAAACTGCTTGTGAAAGAAGATAGGCAAAGTTCTGAAATGAACGATGGCTCAAAAACTGGTGCTAACGCATGAGGGAAGTGTTGACTCACGCTTGAAAACAGAGATGGGCAATCCAGATCATTTCTCGCTCCACCTGCACTCACTAATGAGTCGCTCCACTCCGACTTCGTTCCAGCTCCTGTCTCAATAAAAAATATCCGCTCCGGCTCTGCTCCGACTTCGCTCTAACGAAAACGTTTGTTTTGCTATTTTTCTTAAAGTTTGCTTATATTCAGTGAATTTCACGTTTTGTTCAATATATATATACTAGCGGAAGTAGGGTGTGGGTGTTGGTGTGGGTATGAGTAGGTGTAGGTGGGTGTGGGTGTGGATGGGTATGGGTGTGGGCGTGGGTGTGGGTGTGTATGGGGTGGGGTGGGTGTGGATGTGTTTATGTAGTATTAATGCACACCCACACCCACACCCTACACCCACACCTACACCCACACCCACACCCACACCTACACCCACACCCACACCCACACCCACACCCACACCCACACCCACACCCTGAATCATATATATGAATTCATGATACTGGAACATTTCTTATCTTCATTATTTCAGACTTTCACATTATCCTTGAACCCCAATTAAAATAAAACTAATAATAAATATCCTACATACAACATTGATGTCCGTTTCTGTTCTTTCCATGTATAATCACCTATTTCATCGAATTCTCTTTCAATTAAACCTCAGTTTAATAACATGTTTTCACTTTTCTTCTTGTGATGCTATCAAGACAACCAAATTAGTTAAACAAAACAAACGCTATTATATTGTCATATTCCTATTCAGCCTCCTACGCATGATTTTTCAATTCGTTGGTCATGAAATATTACTATTTTAAAAGTCTAAATCAGATTTTAAAAGCAGTACATATTTATTACGTTGCATTACAGAGAGCAAAGGTAGCTGAATTATCGGCATTACGCAGCATTATAGACTGAATTTTTATTCATTGAGTTACTTTTTTTTGGCCCCATGCTTTAAATAAATAAGATACAACAAATTAGTAACCAAAGTATATTGACTTGCGGAAAAAAATCATTGAGTTACTTTTTATTTGCCCGGTGCTCCAAATAAATTACACACAACAAATTAGAAACAAAAAATATAATGAATTGCTATCAAAATTATTTTACTACTGTTAGAAACTTTAAATGGAACAAGGGATTAAATA